ACGGTTACTGGACCAAAGAAAATTGCTGAGATTCGTCGCGAGGCAGAAGAAAAAGAGCGTCGTGAGGCTGAAAAGAATTCACGCAATCACAGATCATCCAATGGTGGTGCTCGGAACCTTCCTGGACGAGCACAACAATCCAAAAATCACGGTGGTTCTCGCCGAGATGGTCGTGATTCAAACAGCGGGTACTTTAGCAACACCAGAGGTGATGTGCGTGGTGAGACTGGCAATGATGGATGGGAAAGTGCACCTCGTGGCAATGCACGTGTACCAGATCTCAAACGTTTTGGCAAAGTTGCCAGCACAACCAGTGCCAATGTGACACTTGGACCCAACAGCAGTACTCGCCATAGCTGGGCCATCAAAAACGAAGAGCCGCCTAAACCCAAGAGTAACAAGTTTGCCGCCTTGATGGGTAAGGAGAATGAAGATAACGACCACTCCAAGAACGAAAGCGAGGATGAGGAGGCTCATTCGAATAGCAGTTTGTCTGGATCTCACAGTGATGGGGCTGTCGCGGAAGATTTGACTGAAGAAGATCAGCTTGAAAAGGCTGTGGAATCATTCAAAACATTTGTTGAGGGTCTTTCATACAAGGAATTGTTGGAAGATCTTGCAGATGTGACTAGCGAAAAAGCTGTTCTTGCACTTGTAAACAAGATTGTTGTTTGGCAACTAGAAACAAACGGCAAGAACGCAAAGTCTCTCAATGAGATTGTGGCCGGACTATTTTATGGTGATGTGTATTCCAGCAGTTGGTTCTTGGAAGGGTAAGTTGGTCATACAATTATATGTTTGTATTGAAGCGTGTGGTCCACATTGATATGATTGCTCAATTGTAAACCTTGTATATGTTTGATAGCGTCAAGGCAGCGATTATTCAGATTGAATGCGATTTACCCGATTATCCCAATGCATGGCGTCTTCTTGGTCATCTTTTTGCACCACTACTGCAAAAGCAGTTGATGTCGCTACAGGAACTGTTTGATGTGATGTCAGCTACCAGTGAATACATGTCGATGCTTCCTGTTCAACCCGCTGCAGTTGCAGGAACTCTTGAGTTACTTGATGGATCGCTTATTTTGAAATTGATGGTTGAAGAGGGTATTGATTTCCAGTCTTTGTGGCCAGCAGACAAGGCCAGCGAGACTGCCACAAAAAAGTTTTTACAGATGCGTAAACTGCCAGCACTTGCATTATTGGCAGATGTAGTATCGAGTATCCGCAAAGAACTGGTTGTTTTAGATTCAGATGCGCATTACCGATGGTTCAATCCAGAAACGGATTCAGCAATACTCGATTCGCCCAAGTTTTTAAAGGCATTGACTACAGCGATTGTCAAGTGTGTGGCATCTCGAACATTTGAATCGAGCGACAACAAAGTAGAAGTTCCATCACCCGAACTCTATGCTGCAGAAAAGGAATTGATGACACAGTTTGTCAAGATGATGATGCCATACCTGGTATCGAACGAATCCAAAATCGAGGTACTTAAAGCGAGCCAGACATTCTGCACATCCAAGAAATTTCCCAATAGTGAGTTTTGAATTGCAGTGAGTTTATAATCTAACTAAACTAACACGAGTGTTGTATTTGTGATGAATGGAAATCTGCAATGTTTTTAATGAAAGCTTATTTCCACGACTTGATGCGCATGTATCATGAGCTTGATCTAATTGAAACCTCTGTGTTTTCCAATTACCTTGAGTCGATTCCATTGTCTTCAAAGATAGCTCATGGTATTGTCCAGACATGGGTGACTCAACTGGAATCTGACCAGTAGCAAGATCAACCACTTCACAACTCCCCTGTTTTTCTATTAGACGCCCGCTCCGAGTTGTTGCTATACACCAATAATGTCAATGAAGTTTTATTTTTATCCTTGTTCGTGCAGTCATGATTAATAAACTAACGATGGTTTCCAATAAAAAAAACGGTTGATACGATAAGCCATCTAAAGATGGAGTTTAAGAATTCGACTATCCAGCATGAATTCGTATTAAATAGCCAATTGTATGATTGAAATTATTGCAGAATGGTCAACCAGCAACAGACAGCAATCAAGACTGAGAATGTACAGCAAGCAGCACAAGAGTTTTGGTTGCAGTTTCAACAATGGAAACAAGGTGATGAATACATGCATGCATGCACGATCCATACATGCATGATAATAACTCTTGAGAATAGATGTTCAAGAATCGTTATCTCAGTGTCCATCAGGACTCTCTGATGAGCTGGTTGCTGTCAAGTCCGAAATTGCAATACTGAGCAAGAGAGTGACGGACGCAACTCTCTTTCTTCCATTGTATGATCAACGACAGTGTTCATTAGTAAGTGTTGCTAAACACTTGTTGCTGTTAATCTTGGTTTAACTTTTGAGTATAACAGCAACTCAAAGACCTCAATGATCAAGTCACTCGTATTCAAGGCACCAGAGCCAAGTTCTCATTCAAGTCTAGTAAATCCAAACCATCTACGAATACTAAACTCACTGTTTCTGAACATGTTGTTTCTGATACTGGTAATGATCATTGCTCTTGAATGATTCATTCACATTGTATTACAAGTTACTGTTGATGATTGCTCATCTGCTTCATTATAGCATCAACCCTTCCATTGCATGGCCAAGTTTATTCCAACATCAATGGCAAAACATGTGTTGCTCAGACATTACCCACGAGTGAACAAGATCTTTATGTATCAAACATTGTCAGTTCTGTACTTGATCTACGCTGCATATCAGCAGGTGCTGTTCATCTCAAAAACATCACCAACAGCATTGTCTTGTTTGGTCCCATTCGAGGATCTATTCTCGTGGAGCAATGCATTCAGTCCACTGTTGCTGTAGTATGTCGTCAATGTCGTATTCATGATTCTCATCGCAGTATATTCCATCTGCATGTAGCAAGTCATCCAATTATTGAAGATTGTGATGAGATTGGATTTACATCGTTTGAACCTTTGTTGCTGACCAACTTTGATGAATCGTTAAAGGTGATTTAAACTATTGCATGAACATTGCTGACAAGTCGCTTTACAAGCGCATGTAATTCTAACGAATGGTTTCGTATGTATTAGACTGTTGGATTGGTTGCAACTCGGAATGAATTCAACAAAGTTGAGGACTTTAACTGGCTTCGACAGCAAGCATCTCCCAACTGGCGATTAATTGATGAGCCAAATGTATTCAAGACATGGACTGATGTTTCCAATGATGAAACTGGGGATCTGACAAAGTCACTGTTGATGAAGTTTACTCCTCAATATTGAATGGTTGACTTTGTGTTTAATAAAGTTTTGACAGGATGTTCAGTGTATGAACAAATCTGCGTCTTTACAGCACTTGGTTTACAGTCAACACCAATGTGCTGATCGAGTTCTTGAATCTCTCAATAAACTACAAAATATCAAATGAGTGCGTTTGTTTTTTCAACTTGACAAGAGTTGTCATTGATGAGATTGATGTTCACTGTTTTTGTGATTTCAGTTTACAAGACTGTCATCACTCTTTCCTTGACAGGTTTTTTAGCACAACTTGCTCTCTACTCTAGTGAATGGAATGGAAAGTAATTACAGCTCATAGGATTCACTTGCTGCTACTGAAAACAATGGAGCTGCTGAGCTCAACCCGCTTATCATTAGATCTAGGAATGCTGATTATGATTGGAGTCATTTGACAAGCCTTTTTACTAGGGAGTTTTCCGATATTAATGAGACCATACAAGTTGTCAAAGCAGACCATCAAGTCGAAAGAGTTGCGTCTATTCTACAGTAATCAATGGCGTTTGGAGAGCGGTCGTCTGCCAGACATGCGATTCCAGGACATCAATTTTGAAACGGACATTCAAAAGCGCGTAGATTCATTCATGGATGGAAACGAACTCGTTGGTCTGTTAATAGGACCTACAGGTTGTGGAAAAACCCATGAGATTATCAATAGGGCAAAAAAGCAATTCACAATCTTCATTGACGCTCGATCTTACCCAGCTTTAGATGACTCTGATGATGCCTCACTCTTCTCATTGAAAGAAAGTTTTGAAAGCATCACTTCAAAATGGAAAAAACCGAATCAAGACCTGCCACAACTCTATGATATTACCTATGCCTTTCTACTGTCTCGTGTTCTGTTCCTCAAATATCTCAAAGATATCCTAACATAACTCCAGCACAGTTTCTCATTCACCAATTGTTCAACTCAAGAGCCATCAGACTATGCTTTCTGAAACTGAAGCTATTGTCTTTGGACAAATTGAACGACATACATTTCAACTATATTGACGATGATTTGCGCTGCCTCTTTTGTTTTGATCAAGCTCATGTGTTGGCCGAACATCTTGGAAGCACGATTATCTCGTCAATGGAGGGAAATCACATCCAACAAAACGGAGATGTGAATGAAGATTCAAAAAGAGGAACACTCTCGGTCTTGCTGTATGTTATCAAAAATAAGGAGTTTGCCAAAAAGGTTATTTTTGCTGGAACATCATCAAAACTACGCAACATTGACAACTTTAAATCATTTGGAACGAAACCTGTTGGTCCTCTTATTCTCAATGAATTCATAACTTGGGACTTGAAATGGCGTTGGACTATGTGACTGCTTTTGTCGATATTCATCCGGATATTCTCAAGACTGTTCTTACCGACAACTATCGACCAAGAATTTTGGAAAACTTTGTATATGACTTGTTCAGTGCTGGAATCAATGACAATGACTCGGCAACGGCACAACGCATACGACTGAAAAAGCAACATGCCTTTTCGAATATCAATGATATAGTAGAGGAATCTTACAATGCGGTAATTGGTCGATTCACTCATATGATCGAACCTATTGCCAGAACCATCAGGGCTCATTCACATACACAGATTATGTTAAAGCTTATTTTATCATCAATGATGACGACCAATCATGGACCAATATACTGCCAACTGGACAAGAATCAAGAATACTTTTTCATGAATACTGTTGGATCTATACATCTCATTCGTGAAACTAGCGGATACTTTTTGTCTGAAGGATATGTGATAGACTTGCTTCTCAATTTATTCCGAACAGAGTTTCAACAGTTCAATCTGTTGTCATCGTTGGATCTTTTGAGCAGCATCGCTGGCACAAAAGGTAAAAAACTACAGCCAAAGGAACACCATTCGAAGCCGTCATTTTGACTGGTATGATCCAAAAAAATGGACCGCATCTTTCAAATGTCCTATCTAGTTTTGGTGTTTCGATTGCTGGTCTTGATGGTTTACAGTTGCCAACAATAGAGCGTAAGGCTGGAGATGGCACAATCATATCCGATAGACCAACAGGAGTCTTTTTTCGTCCTTCAAGCCAGTTTCGACCAGACATCCTTGCGTTTTTATCCAAACAAGTCTGCGTGTCATTTGGAATCAAGCTATATACATCAAAAATTCCTTCAGCAGTGTCTGCCGATAATCTTGAATCTACAAATCCAGATTTTTCTTTATTAAAGCAGATCGGCCAACGAATAACGAAGCGTATTTGAAATGGCAGCAGAGTATATCTGATACCCCGTTAAAGTTTTCAATAAGGTTCTTGATTGAGCTGCCTGAACCACTCAGTGCTGTTTCAACTGAAAATACTTATAACAGCGTCGAGGGAAACCAAAATGTCGTTGTTGTCGTTTCAAAGAGCAATATGCGCAATATTTTAAGCGAGCAGATTGCGTCGTTTGTTGAATTCATTACCAGTTCCTGATAATAAATATTGAGCTAATTTGAATATTGGATTGTGTTTTGTTTGATTTATTATATTCAACAAAAGATGCCACAAATCACTTGTCAACTTGATACTATGCAACAGTCGGTTGTTCTTGGTGTAGATACAGATTGAACTACCAATAATGGTTATTTCACACAAAGTCACCCAATATCCTGCCAACTGTGATTCTGATTGTATTCCACACACAATTCTAGATTGTAATCACAATCACAATCACAATTACCGTGTTTGATCAAATGGTGTTTTGCATTGATCATGGTATCATACATCACGATACTGCCAGATCACTGCACACAAGTCATGACCAATACAAATGCATTACTGATTGACACTGATCGACACCATAAACGCAGTCAGACAGCACAACAAATCACCAGCATGCCATTGACCGTATTGCAATACAATTGACCAACATATCATGCTGTATGCTGCACCAAGTCGCGACATACAACAACATTACTGACTGAATACAGGTCACAACTGCAAGTATTCATGTGGTAATGGACTGACATTGGCGTTGATATCAAATTGATTGATTAATCGATCACCATCAACTGCATCAGTGACTGGTATATGCAACCGATATACACCATGTCCGAGTCTGATACATGTTGATATATTCCTGTCAATCAGCAATGCAGATTTGTGGCCATTACAGTCGAATGTGAGTCGAGTCGATCACTAAACCAACGAATCAATGATTGCACTCTAAATATGGTGCGATTTGATGCGACATGACAATATATTGTCCAACAGGTTCAACATATACAACACCGATATCCAACACATCACACATGAATACACTGCATATACAAGCAGTAGCAATAACCAATCAAACCAACAATGACAGAGTTACCCACCAACATATAGTCGATCATCAGTCGAATCTGCATATATAACTAGTTGCAACACGTCATAATCAATGTGGATTGTATTGTCCACCAATCGATCATGACAGCTAATCAATACCAATCATGTAGTCAATACAATCACCAACATATCGATGATTGTTGACTGGCGGTTACAACTCGTCAATTGCATCCAATGTTACAGGTGATGCACATCTGATTACTGCAAATCAACAACTTGTCAATCATATCATAGTGTGTATTGCCAACAAACCATGCAATTACAAATCAATGTATACGTGATCAGCATTTGATATTTGATGGTGATGAACCAACCATGATTGATTGTATCATACAACTAATACAGTTGCATTGTCTGGTATTGATGATTGACCCATTCATGTCAAACAGTAACTAATGCGTGTATATCGAGTTTGTGTTGCATGGACACATCAAGGTGTTTGATAGCGAGTTCAACGTGATGATACAAACCCAATATTATATGAATATCCAAGTTGATGAATCAAGTCGAGGTTTGTAAAGTGTCAATATGTCAGATCAATCAAACGAACCAGTCAACCATTATATTGTGACTAGTGATGGCACGGTTTGAATGTCAACGAGTTGGACAGTCGACAATATGGTGATTGTGATTTGGTCAAACCGCAACACTTGCATATCACTAAACCAGTTTGGTGTACGTGATGTAAACACATACTACTGGATTGGTAATAAATGTGTTGGAGTAATGGTGTGTATGGATGGCAATGTCTGTACCAGCATGTGCTGATCACAGTATATTTGCCGCACTATGCTGCGGATACACAGCATATCCTAGATGAAATCACCAGCCCTGATACCACGATCCCAACTTCAACAACAGGCCATTGTGTAAATGGATATCCCTTTAAAATTATTTCGACATTGATGACAATAAAGTAATACCAACCCTGATAACACTAGTTCCTTAGGGAGGCTACCCATGGAACACGATTTAATATTATCCGCTCAATAATGGATATAAATACGATCCAAAACCGATGTGTTGAATGACAATCATCACAACTTACTCGACCAAACCAGTAAAATGAAACTTTCAATTACCCTATTGTCATCGATCCTGGCTATTTGCTCGGTTACTGTCGCTAGTCCAATTCTCCCCAGTTCGGATGCAGCTATTGAATTTGGCTCTGCAGACCATCCTAACCCGTATAGCGAGTATATGGCTGATTGCTATCCAATTACGCTTGATGGAATAGTGACGATCAAAAACTACGCGGATGGTAAACGCAATTTTGACCGAAAAATGAAACCGTTCAACTTGAAAACCATACAGATTGAAAATCAAAAAGAAGCGATGAGTAAACTGAATGCAAAAATGGAGTTTCTGGCAACTCAAGTTGGAAACACCCGTGGTCCTTCAGTTTACGAATCAGAGTTTCTCAAGCTTAAACCCAAGCACTTTGAAGAGCGTAGCATTCTTGAAAAACTTGAAAAAAGCCTAGAGGAGCTCGAGCCAGATTATTTAAAAGCAAAGGACGGATTGGACAAGCTAAAATCGAAGTTTTATTACTACCTCACAAGACATGATACGACTGGAGTAATGGCTGCTGCTACGCCAAACCTGGATTTATATCCCGGACTTAAAAAGTGCTTTAGTATTTTTTACAATGATTTATCATAGTGATTTCCAGTCTGGATATGGTGCAACTTTAAGATTCTGGTGCTTGACCATAGACTCGTCACATTATTGAAGCTCAAAGTGAACAATCAACAATCTTATCCAAGATATGCTGTAATTCAGCGTGCATTGCATGGTGGTTTAATTCTCACTTGTCATGCATCCAATTTTCGTTCATTCAATAAACATCCTGTATTGTCAATCAATAATGTATTAAAGAGTACGACTTGCTTGCATGAAATTATTTCATGTTTCGGCACTCGAATTTATTTTGAATAGAACTCGTTTGAAAAAATTGTTATCCATACGTTTACATCTAGAAACGTTTCAATCCAATATTCAGTACCATTAGCTACCCACAGTACACAATTGGCTGCATATTACGCTTATGAAGTATCAGATTAATCGTTTACCAATGAGCTGACATATCACGTTTTCCTTGTTTAAATGACTTGCAAACTGGTCCGCTCCAAACCCAGTCATCACACGACATCACAGTTGAAACTGTGTCCGGTACCAGACTCTGACTTATCTGTTGGCGTTGCATTCGATCCCGTATCATAGTCCAAACTGAACACCAGAATCATTGATATCGAGGTTTAAGATGGCTTTATTCAGATTGATGGCTTCCATTGAATCTTGGACAGAGCATGGAGTTTGTTTAATTATTCAAGCTTATTGACCGGGCAAAGTTCTCAATGGCGTCCTCTGAAGCAAGAGAATTCACGCTCATTTTGGTGCCTATTGCTGATAGAAATACAGTACTGAGTTTGACTAATCATCATATCTTTTATTAGTTTGATCAAAATACAATACCTCGAGCTTTACCAGCCATAACAGTTTTGAACTTGATTATGAGTGGCTGCTCATATGTGCCAAGAGGATATTGAATGGAGGTCAGGAGTCTATTTCCAGGAATGACTGGTCCATCTAATGCATTGTGAAGAGTGAGTTGTGCTAAAGAAAGATTGTCAAGAAGTGGGATGGTGGCAATCTTGTAGGCTGCAATCAAATGTGAAACAGTGAGGAGTGGAAAAGGCCGTAAAGCAGTCCTTTCATTATTAACATGAATGTCAATCTTGACTGGTTGATTGTCAAGATATCGAATGTAAAACTCTTGATTTTCCATTTTGTAATTGAAAGAAATAAGCGTGATTTTCAAATTCATGCTCTAAATAGTGTCAAATAAGCAATTTTGTGTGAAATTACAATCAAATTAAACATTTGTCATGTGTTTATTTGTATTGTTCAATCAAGTGTCAATTCAACTCAACAATTGATTACGTCATTCATATAATGACTCGAGTCTTTTATTCAACATTTTAATATTCAATATTCGGATTAAAGTTTCGAGTCAATTTAACAGTTTATATTAAAAAAGTGGTATCGAGTTCCGTTATATACCATTGTGGGTGATCAATGTTTTATGTGTAGATTAATATCAGTATTAGCATCAAATGGCTGGAAATATTGTATTCCAGCACAATATATCGTATACTAGAACATGGATCAATATATTCTGTAGTAATGGATTGTATATGTGATGATAACTATCCATGATCAGGGTGACAATCTGACACTATCTGATCACTGGATACATGACCGCAATTGGAAATGTTAATGCAGCATACTACCGAGGTCGATTATACACTAACAGCGATGCTTGTATATTAGGTTTCATTACAGGGTGTTTCTGGGTTTGCTCACCCTACACGGCGTACTTTTGTTTTTTATGATCATTCATTTGAGAATTGCTGATTGCCGACTGTCACCCTTGAAGCTGCCGTCATTATAAAACGGCAGTCATATATCAGATTCAAAGCTTTCCATTACACTACTCGATACAATGTTGATTACTCTAGAATGCATTCTACTTGCGTTACAAGCGGTTGCTGCAGTTCGACTTGCATTAGAATCACCAATTGAAAGTGCCAGTCAATCAAACAATAGGCTATCAAAACGATCACCCATTGAATTGGGTGGTAGTATTGATCAATGCTGATGTATCATGCCATACATTGTAATGTGTGTGATATGTTCAAGCCGTGCATGTATTGGATCAGTCCAGTGTGTATTGTAGTTGTTTGATACACGATGATACGCATACTATTGCATTGGTAATACATGGCATGAATTGAATACACATTCCAAGTGTGTCAATCATGGCATGGATTGTTTGAATCCATCACTGTATATCTGGATGACCATGTCGATACTAAATGTGCGATATCAACTGTTTGAATATGGTATACTGTTGCAAATATCATGACTATCACATTCCATTAGCATGTCTGATCATATTGCACCAATCGACCAGTATACGATCACTGCATACATCAACATGTGATACTTGATACACGACAGAGTTGGCACTGCAACTGATGCGTGTGATCAGTCAGGCTATTGATGCAACCATTTTGACACCACAATCAACGAGTAAAACCAGTCAAGTTGATCGAGTTGATCGAATCTGATATCAACACACATGACTGTTGTTGGTATTAGTGTTGCATGTGCCAATACGACATGACGAGCAATATCATATCAACACAATACACACATGCATGTCAGCATCATCAATGTGTACAACTATGCAATATACAATCAACTGTATTGTATTGTATTGGAAATACAAGTGTCAATGTACAATATGATATGATACCAACCAAGATTGTACAATAATCAGATATAATGCATACACATCCAATGTAAAATGTCAAATGGTAGTTGTATTGTATTTTATTCAAACAAAAATATAACATACTCGGTTAGAATCAGTCCAAATTAGTATTCGAATCAATCAATAGTTTGCGATCACCACTTTTGTCTTGATTCCAGCCTAATTCAAATCCATCTTTAATTTCGCGATAAACTTTCTGTAAACGAGAAGATTTGGAAGCCTTTTGTGTGCTGGATGATGCTTGAGTGGGTTGGACTGTAGACGTTTCGCTTGATGATGATGGACTTTTATGATGTTGTGATGAACTATGAGCTCCACTAGTAGAGTCTTGTTGGGATCCTAACTGTTGGCTTGGTGCAGAATTGCTAAATGTTTTGACGAGTTTTGTAAACTCGGGATCTGATTCCAAAAATCTCGTGTAATATTCGAATGGTTGATACTGATTTTTCCCAAACAAGCGATTTAGAAGCTGCGCTTTGGTTTTACCTAATTTGAAAGTAAGATTAAACAAATCGAAATGCCGCTGCATCTTTATAAGTTCATAGAGAGTTTTTCGTTCTTGTTCAAGTTTATCTTCAAGTTCCTGGAGCTTTTCGCTGTGCTTTGAACCATTCTCGCTAATCTGAGATTTACGTGGCAGCTTTTTAATTTTTTTATTCAGCCGTTTTACCAATTTTTCTTGAACATGCATTTTAGATTGTGTCAACTTCTGCATTTCCTCTGCATTATCATAATCTTTCTTCGCCTGTGTGTACTCTTTGATCAACTTCATATCCTTATCTGAAAAGTTGCTAAAATCAATTGGAGGTATAACTTGTGCACTGGGAATGACGGTTGAAGTGCTAGCTCCGGCACTTGCAGCTGCACTGGGATTGACCGGGATGGCTGTAGTAACCGAGCAAACAGCCAATATCGATGACAATACAACAATTGATAGTTTCATTATACTGGTTTGATCGAGCAAGTTGTAATGGTTGTTATTTGACACGTCGGCTTTGGATCGTATTTATATCCACTATTGAATGGATAGTATCAAAAGTACATTCCTTGGATGACCGTCCTAAGGGATTTGTGTTGTCAGGGTTGATGGTGATTTGTCATCAATGTCAAAGTTTAAGGGAATATATATTTATATAACCGCAATATTGGTTGGACCACTGCATGGCTATGCATTCGAATATCATATGGCTGATTGTGTAGTTTCTCACCCTTATCCACCCTAAAAAGGGTTGGTGTGCCAACACATGAATAAATATATACATGTTTAAACAAGACTATATGCAACTGAATGTCAGCTCAGTTGTTGGATGGTCATCAATATGTGTTGTGGTTGACATGATTCAACATGTAGTTTAATGATGCTCTGCATTCAACTCGACACGATCAATCATCACTACACATTGTCCAGTAATTCAATCAATCAACTGAATCAATACAATGCAGTTCATGTTGCAACCACAATGTCACATTGATGATCAATGACTTGCAACTGTTGTGTTGGCATATTGCATGTTGTGTGCTATTATATCAACATTGATTGTCATTATATAGCTGTATCAACCACACATTATGATCATATGTCATGATTGACTCGTATTCTGGATTGATACACTCATTCCACTCCATTGTATTCCATTGCATCACTCGAACACAAACATCGTATGACTTGTTGATTGATAATACCCATATTGATCGAATACACACTACATGACACATGTCAGGTTAGCGTATACATTCCACTATATATCACATCATGTTGCTGATACCACGCATTGTGATTCAACAGTCAATCTGTATTCGAGTTCAACTACAATTGATTGTGTCAATCATAATATACACGACCAATTGTAGTCGAGTTGATGTGACTGAATAGAGTCCGAGTCATCATGTTCATATCAAACCATTGCAAACCATTACAAGTCTATTGTACAACTCCACTTGTGTTGATTACAACATGCTATTCATAAATGTATCATATTGTCCTGTAATGACTGTGCATGACTGTACATGATTGTTTGGAACCAGTAGCTACGTTGATTGATATCCACAATATGATCCAGTAGTCGTCCAGATTGTGTGTTGTATTTGGTGTGTTGGGTGATGATATCAACCTGTAGTCAAGGTTTGACTATCTGGACATGTCGGTGACTTTTTACCAACTGTGTGCAACTCGATGTCCAATATCGAGTCATGTCATTGGTCAATTGATTGGTTCAATTCATCAGTGGGTTTGCAGGATCCATGTGGTGTGCAGCACTTTCAAGAGTATGAAGAATCTGTTTCAGTATTGGAACTTAGTAAATGGATCAACATACTAACCTGACCATGATTGTGGTGGTTATAGCAGTCGAGTCGTAAAGCTTATTCTGGCAATCATTGATGGTTTGGACAGTCATTTGAATAATCGTTTGGATGTCAGGTTATGGTATCCTGATTGACAACTCGACTCGGATACAACTCTGATTTGGACAA